TCTCTATGACGGCTAGCAGAAGCCTGAGTAAAAGAGGATACGTGGTTGAAACAAAAGCTGAACTAAGCTTCAATCCTTCGGTCTCTTACAGTAACTTGTGGGAACCCCTTTCCCGTCCTGCGTGGCTCAGGGTTCCAGTTCAGAGTTTAGGTTCTGGAGAAGGCCACACACAAATGAAAAAAGACTAGAAAAGTATTAATTTGGGAATATTGGGGGCCAGGAGGGAGCCCACCTCCAGTGGGAGGATTACCGCCTTGCTTTGGCCTTTTATTCAGGTTTGGGACACACCCATTGCCGTTAGACAGGTAATTCCAGTAACGGGCAGATTATCTTATCAGTAAGGATTTACATGATTATTTGGTGGGGAAGTTGCTTCAGTTACCATTGTCTTAGATAGGAAGTGGTTGGCTCTGATCTTTCAGAGCTTAAAGGTAGACCAGCCTTCCAGGTTTCCTGTCTACATCTATTAGTGGGACAAAGATAAGTTTCCGGCAGTAACTGGCAGAGCGTTTTGCATGTATATTATGTGAATGGTGTGGAAGTGTAGAGTGCAACACATTGAGGTAGAATTCAGGATTTTTCTACGGGAGCTGCTAACCTGCTTCCAAACCCAGAAAAACTGCTTTTCTGTTCCCAAAAGAAGTTTCTAAGATCATAATATCAAACCATACTGCCAGGAGATTTGAAGGCCACATACCATAATAACATAACCTTTAGAGCTCATTTCTATAGAGCTTACAGTCAACTCTATTTCCATTCCCAGTCTCCCCTGTCTTTATTATATGGTTGTGTGCATACTTTTATCTCCTCTCCAAAGAATATAAACTCCTTGAAACCTTGACTTGTCTTATTCAACTTTGCCTAGCCTAGTCATCTTCCCAATTCACAGACTATCCTACCCATTGTAGATATTCAGCAAGTATTTAAGTTTAAAAAATCTCACCTGTTAATCAGAAGGTAAAGATGATCTCACTTATTATCTCATAGTGTCCCTTGAGCTCTAGCAGCACACTCATGTTGAGGTGAGTGATGTGGCCAGAGAGTATAGGAGGGGACCCTTTTACCTTCTTGGATTGTAGCTATCATATCACTGACTGCACATTTGAAGGGAAGTCTGCCTGGTGTAGTGGTTAAGCCATTTTACCTGTTTTTGAACCTTGTTACAATCACATAATTTCTCTGTGCATTAGTATTTTCTCATCTGCAAAGTAGAAGTGATAATCTGAAATGCTGATAGCATTGTCATAAAGGTTTACTGAGTTAATACATGCAGTGCACTTTAGAATAGCACTGGGCTATCACAAGTGCCTAGAATTAGTTATTTTACACTCCGCTAAAGTTTTATAGAAATGTAACGGGGAGCTGGGTAGTAATCAGCCATAGGAAGGAAATGCAAAGAGTATTAAGAAGAGGGAGGGTAGGAACATATCCAGGAATGTGACTATAATCCCAATTTAGGACAAATAAGTTCTTTACCCAGATAAATATCCCTGTCATGAAGTGTGAGGCTGAGGTGCCTTGTACCTGGTGGAACCCATTCACCTGGGTGGGGGAATCAAAGTCTCTCTCTTGGAGGTGAAGTAGTCTACCTCTTGAAGTCTTTTTTTTTTTTTTTTTTTTTTAATAAGCTTGGTCAAGTTATAGGGAAAATTCTATCATAAAAAAGCATTTCATGCCGAAAACTGGTTTGGCTCAGTGGACAGAGCGTCGGCCTGTGAACTGAAGGATCCCGGGTTCGATTCCGGTCAAGGGCATGTACCTTGGTTGTGGGTACATCCCCAGTAGGGGGTGTGCAAGAGGCAGCTGATTGATGATTCTCTCTCATCAATGTTTCTAGCTCTCTATCCCTCTCTCTGTCTCTCTGTAAAACATCAATAATATATATTATATATTATATATATTATATTATATATATATATATATATATATATATATATAGCATTTCATGTCAGATGAGTTATTTTTATTAAGAATATTTGTGGAAAAAAAGAATATTTGTGAGATTGATATTTTAAATACTGAAATTGATTTTTTTAGCTATATATAAATTTACAAGGTATAATGATAATGTGGAATACTTTAGAGGATTTAAATATCAATGATATAAAAAGCCAATTCTTTTAATAATAGACACATTATTTAATGGATTTTATTACTTTTACTTTTTTTGGAAAGCAAAGATTTGTGTGTTTAATAAGGCAATTTTAGGCAAGGAGAATAACATTTCTGGTATAAAATGTTATGAGGCTAATAATAGAAGACACATCATCAAAGGAAAACTGACTTGTGAGAAAAAAGGACTAATCAGACATTGGAAGTGATGACTTATAAAGGCAATTATGGCTCTGGACTAAGCCTTTTGGGATATTTTGTTATCTGTCAGAGAATAGTGTGCAGTTAACATTCTGTGAAGATTATAAGCTATTCAAATTTTATTACATGCTTGGTGAAAAATTAAAGAACACACTGCTTAGTGTTACTCATAGTTTTAGAGTGTGTATGTGTGTGTGTGTGTGTGTGTGTGTGTGGCCTATGCCTTAGACCAGTGGTCAGGAAACTTATTAGTCAACAGAGCCAAATATCAACAGTACAATGACTAAAATTTCTTATGAGAGCCAAATTTTTTATTTCTTTTATTTTAAAATATATTTTATTGATTTTAGAGAGGAAGGGAGGGATGGAGGGAGGAGAGAGAGAGAGAGAGAGAGAGAGAGAGAGAGAGAGAGAGAGAGAGATATCAATGATGAGAATCATTGATTGGCTGCCTCCTGCATGCCCCCACTGGGGATGAGCCCACAACCCAGGCATGTGCCCTTGGCTGGAATCGAACCTGGGACCCCTCAGTCCACAGGCTGACGACGCTCTATCCATTGAGCCAACCAGCTAGGTCGAGAGCCAAAATTTTAAACTTAAACTTCTTCTAACACTACTTGTTCAAAATAGACTAGCCCAGGCCATGGTATTTTGTGGAAGATCCACACTCAAGAAGCCAAAGAGCTGCATGTGGCTCATAAACCGCAGTTTGCAGACCACAGCCTTAGACTAATCATCTACTTCCATGTCAGACATTAGGTTCTATGGATGGTTTTTCTTACCATAGCAGTTATAGTAAACTGGCTCCCAAACTGACCATATGAGCCTATTTATTCTTGTGACCAGATAAAGTTGTATTAGGCCCAAATTTTATGCTGTACTGGTTCGGGTGTTGAATTGTTTATAACTACATTTCTCCTTAATCTGCTTGAAAATGTAATTCAAATGTAGGAATGAGACTCCACAGTGAGTCCCCACAGTAAGGAGGGGGGAAAAAAGCCAGCTTATTTCTAAATGGCAATCTTCAATTGTCAGACCACATCAATCACCTGACTTCTTCTATTCAGCCCTAAAGTACTTTCAAGGTCAGGTCTCCTGATGAAGAAATTTGGCATAGTGGGTTATTCGGCAAAAAAAACGCCCAAAGCCAGAGCACTGCTGTGGTGTTGGCAGCAATAGTTGCTCTTCAAACAGCAAAGGGGAGGAAAGAATGGAAGACTTTTTTTTTTTTTTTTTTTTTCCTAAGCACATTTCCTAACGTTTCTGCCTGTATCTCATTAAAAAGTTGGGTAAAGAAATGTGGGTGGAGATTTCATGGAAGGTCCATCCGGAGTCCTACAGGCACAACTCATTTAACTTACCTTTCAAAAACTTAGGAAATGCCATGTTAGAAAACATTACCCAGATTTCTCTGATTTCGCAAGAAACTGGGACCTCCGGCCGCAGTGGGCCTGTACTCCTACGGGGAACACGCTGCTCTGCACACATGCCCTACAAATAGGCACATCTTTGTTAAAGGGACAGTGGGGGGACGGGGAACCCAATGCTGGTTTTCTTCCAAACAGTCCTAAATCTCCCGTTCTGCAATGATCTGTGACCCAAACCTACTCTTCCGGAACCAGGTGTGGAAGGATGGATCCTGTAGCCCCAGCTCTGGGGTGACCTTGGGGGCGAGTCCGTGCGGCGCTCTTGGCCGCAGGTGGTCCGGTCTGTAAGATCCGGTACCCGGGGTGTGAATATCACCCACGGCCCTTGCACAGCACCCCGAGATTTGGCAAGTTCTCCTAATGCACAAACCGCAGCGCGCTCCCAGCACGCGCGGCGGCGCAGGGCGCGCCGAGGCAGCTTCCGAAGCCGGTTACCGGAATCCGCGCGGCTCCCGCCTCCCACGCGCGGGGCGTGCGAGCGGAAGGCGGTTTTGGGGGTGGCGGTGGGGGGTCTGGACGGCGGCGCTGGAGGGTCCCCGGTGGGGATAAAGTTGCCGGCGGCATTTTCCAGCCCCCCGAGTGACAAGCTCCTCGCGCAGAGGACCGGCTCCGACCCGCCCGGGACCGGCTCCGACCCGCCGGGAGGGACCCCAGACCCAGGACCCCGGCCACGCCCCCTCTACGTGACAGAAGCCGACAACGTCACTTCCGGCGGCGGCGCGGAGGGCGCGTCTGCGCGGGGCGCCGGGCCTCCCAGAGCCGTTGGTGGCTGCGCCGCGCCGCCGGCAGCCGCGAGTGGCGGGCGGCGTGGGTCCGGCCCGGGCAGTCGCGGCGGCGGCGCGGGCTGCGCTCCGGGCCCAGCGTGTCCAGGGAGGTTCAGCCTCTCCCCGGAGGGGTGCCGCCCCGCCCCTTCTCCGTTTCCCTCTCTCCCGCGCTCCTCCCCGGACCAAGAGGCGGGGGCGCCCCGGGCAGTCGCCGCGGCTTTGGAGTCGAGGGGGGGGGGGGGGCCCTGCCCCCGCCCCGCGCTCGGGCCCGCCCCCCGCGCCCCGCCCCGTCCCGCCCTCCCCGCCGCCCTCTGCGGGAGCCCGGCGGCTGCGGCGCAGCCGGGAGCGGGCGGCGGGCTGGGCAGTGCGCTCTGGCGCGCGGCATGTGAGGCTCGCGGGCCGCTGCGCGCTCGGACGCTCGGGGCCCGCCGACCCGTCGCGGACGCTCGGAACTCGCCCTCGCGCGCGCCCCGCGCCCCGCGGCGCCGGCGGGACCATGAAGAAGTTCTCTCGGATGCCCAAGTCGGAGGGCGGCGGCGGCGGCGGCGGCGGCGCAGCGGCCGGCGGGTCCGGCGGGGCCGTGGCCGCCTCGGGCTCCGGGGGCTCGTCCGTCGGGGCGCGGGTGTTCGCCGTGGGCCGCTACCAGGTCACCCTGGAGGAGGCGCTGGCGGAAGGTACGGGGAAGGGGAGGCTGGGTGGGCAGGTGAGGTCGGGCTGGGCTGGGGTGTGGCGGGGGCTCCTCTGGGCGCCCTCTTCGGATCCCTCTTTCCCCATCTCTGCAGCTCCTGTCCGGCCGGCCGAGGGCTCTGTCGGGGATTTCGCTCTCCAGCCGGCTCCTCTGGCCGCAGGCAGCCCTCCTGACAAGTTTTTTTTAAAGTCGTTTTCTTGACGCGAGGAAATAAATAGAAAAACGTCCCAGCGAGTGATGTGGGCTACGATGGGGCCAGTGACTCATGAGAGGGTCAGATCGGGCAGGATTGGGGCGCTGCGCTGCCAGCTGCGGCTCCAGCGGGGCTCATGCATTTGGCGTCTTCGTGGGACTCTCCGCCCGCAGCCCCCGGGGTGCAGCCTGGTTTTGCTCCTGGCTCTGTCCTCAGTTGAAAAAAAAAAAATCATCACAATATATTTCTCTGTGTGCGCGCGTGTTACAGGTGATAATCCGTCCCAGGTTCTGTTAGTGGGTGGCTTTGGGAGAGCTGGTAAACTGGAAGTCTCTCTATCTTTGTGATCTGGAGCCTTTCTTATTCATTCCCTTTCAGAGTTGTCCTTCTGGTGGTAGCACTTGAAAAGGTGGTGTGAGAACAGTTTAACTTTCCCTTGTGAAGTTCTGTGTTGGGTCCCTTGTTATCTTTACCCCGGACTGTGTCAGCAGTTGCAGGTCTGCTTACAGAAAAGTTTGCACCATTTTAAAGAGAAGAGATTGCGCTCTTTAGTTTTGTATCGTTTGTATAACTGCCTTGTAGAAAATACTTTGTCTTGCTTGTTACCTGCTTCACATTGACCTTTGAGTTCCTAATTGCAAAATTATATTACAAAATAAATACTTTTAAAAGCCCATAAAGAAATGTTTGGTGGTTGAACGGTCCTTTTAGGTCTTAAGGTCAAGAAAAGAAATTTGAAGGTTGATTCTCTGAGAGATGATGTGGTTTGAAGACAGTAGGCTGAGATTACACTTTTTTTGTGTGTGAAATGTTATAAACAATAGCAAATTAGTGTAAGAGAAGAATCTGAAGGTTTTTTTTTTTTTCTATAACAATGTTCTAAAGGGAAAGAAATGTTGAATTATTTAGAGGTGGTTGTCATTGTTTTGGAAAACTTTGCCCATACTAATGAACCTCAATGAACCTTGTTGAGGTGGAAGGAAGAATCCTCAGCTTCTCTAGAGAATGAATATATAGGTTGTATCCCTGAAATGCATTTGCACACTTTGACAGTGATTATTAAAATACATTTCATTTTGGAGTAGAGTTAATTGCTGTTAAAGTATGTGTACGTTTTTTTGGGGACACCCTATGGTAATTGGTCATGATAGATAGATTTACTATGCTTTAAAATTTCCTAGCCCTTTATTATATGTGAATTTCAATATAATAGATTTAAATTGAGTTGTAGGTTTTGAGAAGATGGCTAATACCCCACGTGCTATACTTTTGTTTGAATTGTATTAACTAATTGAAGTGCAGCTTGAGTAGTAGTGCACTCACTTCATTTCACTAAATCTCAGATGGGTCTTTTATTTAGTAGAAAGGAAACTAACTTGAATCAAATTAGACTGGTTTTGTACCTCCTATCACTCACTGCTCTAAGCATATTGTCATTACCCTTGGCAAGAAGTAAATTTTGGAAATGAAATTAAAAATGAATTTCTAAAGGAGTGCTCAACCACTAAAAAATGTAAAACAATTTCAAGCGCTAAAGTTGTTCTACTGATTTGGCCTTTCTCTTGGAAATAGTCTGTAAACTAGTGCTAGGAGGAAGCAAAGGTGGAAGAAACTCTTATGGCAGATGGGACTTGACCACCCAACACCCCAACCCTTGGGACTAAGCTTTAGCTTTCTCTGGAGGGAAGGCTGAGCCCTAGGCTTTCTTCCCTTGGTATTTCTTCTTTCTTCAGAATATACACTAAAATTACCGATATTTGGTTTACTTCTTGATTTTGATAATTCATTCCTATTTCAGATGCTTAATATCCCCCTCTTCTTTCCAAATAAGAAATGCCAAAATTTAGGCACGATGTTTAAGCACAAGTCTGCTTCACATTCAAGAATGATCACTCAATAACTGACAGATACATTACCCTGATTATAATAAGATTAGGGCAAGTGCTTCTGAAAAGGCTAGAGTTTAAAGTACCTGAATTGAGCTCTAACCGGTTTGGCTCAGTGGATAGAGCATCGGCCTGCAGACTCAAGGGTCCCAGGTTCGATTCCGGTCAGGGGAATGTACCTTGGTTGCGGGCACCTACCTACTAGGGCCGTGCAGGAGGCAGCTGATCGATGATTCTAACTCTCTCTCCCTCTCTGAAAAAAAAAATCAATAAAGTACCTGAATTGAGGAGAGTTATGCCATTAAGTGGCAAAAGAGGTAGAAACAAAGACCAAAAAACAAACTTGGTAGATTTTTTATTTTTTCCTTAGGTCAGTATTGTTTAAACGGGCCAAGACCCTATAGATGCTGTGCTTTGAGGTGTTTTGACTCTTATGCAAACATAGGCAGATTGCTCAGAATGACCTCTGCAGTGCCTTTGAGAGGCTTCATAAACTCTGGTTCTCTCCTTTATATACATACACACATATGTACAAATATACATGTATATATATGTATAAATATGTATATACTATATACATGTATGTATGTATAAATATATGTACACTAGTGGCCTGGTGCATGAATCCGTGCACATTGAAAGGCAATTAATTAGAAAAAATATTTTAATATTGCTGTTGGCCCTTTCTCTATAATAGAAGTGTCAACTAAATTTATGATCGACAATGACAGATTGAAACACATTGGCACCAGCAAGAGTTTTATATATATATATATAGGTAAAGTTGTTTAGTTAGACCTGCTTTCTGATTTAGCTAAACTTTTCCCAGCCCAGTGAAGCACCCCAACTTCTCTTTCGGGTAATTGTCAGCAACACAGAAGTAAATATCAACATGAAGTAGATTATTATTGTAGATCATGCAGAGAGAACAAAGGGTAAAATATGTAACTGCAGCAGTGTTTGATTACATTCTGTAGAGTGAGAAAACCTGAAGTCATTTTCAAGGTCCACAATTTCTTCTTTTCAGTCAGGTCAAGTTTCTAAGTTTTTTAAATCTCCATTTTCCAGCTAATGAAAAGAAAATAGGATTCCACCGAGTTTCCTATCTGCCAGGACTTCCGTGAGGATCAAATGAGATGAGGCATGGGAAAACGCTTCACAGACATTTGGTTAAAGAGTAATATGTTTCCACTTGGCTGTAAAGCAAGTCCTGTTTCTAGGCTGAAGAAACTGCAAGGAGGCTAGTCGTTAGGGAGAGGACGCTGGGCGTCGCTACTGATGTCATTACCCAGCGCCCACAGCCACCGTTTCTGGGCTGGGCTGGGCTGTGGGATGCATTTTGTGCCATGGGGTCTTGACAACATAGATTTGGTGGGGTGTCACTCTGTGGTGGTGGCGGGGCCTGTGTCCCACTTGAGGGAAGCTGAATGTTGCTTTGTGGGCACCAGCTCCGAGGTGCCATTTATGGTTAAAAGGCCTGTCTCTAGGGAGAGGAAGCCGGACGTTGCTATGTGCTGGGATTACCTGGTGCCCACAGCCACCTTTCAGTCTGGGCTGGCTTGTGGGCTGCATTTTGTGCCATGGGGACGTCGGCAGCGTCAGCTGTGATTTGGTAGGTTGTCTGGGATGGTGGCGGGGCCTGTGTTCCACTTGGGGAAACCTAGTGTTGCTTTGTGCCAGGTCCCTGGTGCCATTTCCCTGTAAATGGCCAGGGCTTGTCATGGCATCTCCTGCATAGGACAGTGCACGTCTAGCGACTGGTCAGACTGTTGTACATTTAGCATATTAGCCATATATATATATATATATATATATATATATATATACACACACACACACACACACACACACACAGATATGCATATACATACATATATGTGTATATATACATAAAATTCTCATTACTTGCCATAGTTATGTTCTATAAAGTCAACATAAACATGAACCATTGCTTTAGGGTACTGCAAGCCTCTGTTCACACCATTTTTGTCAGCCAGTGAGTTCAGAACCTTGCTTTGTGTGTGTTTCTGTTTAAATACACCATCCAATATAATAAAAGCCTAATAATGCTAAGTGTCTGATCATCTGGTAGTTGTTCAACCAAAGAGTAATATACTAATGATAAGCTAAGGCCACGCAACTGCTTGCTGTGATGTGCATTGACTACCAGCGGGCAGAGAGTCAACTGGTCAACCAGTTGCTATGATGTGCACTGACCACCAGGGGGCAGACAGGTGAACAGTCGCTATGTCATGCACTGACCTCCAGGGGGCAGACGTTCAGTAGGTTAGCTTGCTGCTGGTGTCCAGTTGATCGGCACTGAGTGAGACAGGCTGGACACGGCCTGCAGCCCTCTCCTGGTCCCTTCCCAGCTGGCCAACCTCCCATGTCCCTCCTTGGCCCTGATTGTACACCAGTGAGGTCCCTGGGGTTGGCCTGTGCCCTCTTACAATTCAGGATCCCTCAGGAGATGTCATAGAGCTGATTTTGACCCAATCCTGCAGGCCAGACCAAGGGATCCCACTGTTGCATGAATTTGTGCACCGGGCCTCTATTATTTAATATAAATGATTGACTGATTAACATGGAACTCATGGTCAGCAGCACTGCAGTTTATGCCTAAGTGAAGTTTAGCTCATACACATATGTTCTCTGTGAGGGGCATCACAGCCTTCTTGGGTTTAGTAACACTAGATAATACTTTAGCACTATACTTGGGAGACATTTAAAAAAATACATCACTAATAAAAAGCACAAAAATGAGAAAACATGACACTAAATAGATCTTGGAAAGGGCACTTGTTAGAAATATGAGAGCTGAGATCAGAAGGCACAGCATCAACTTTTTTACTCTAACTGGTCTATTAAAAATTTTCACCACTATGTGCATGAGTGCATATAACTGTG